TTTCTAATGGATGTTGCATATTTATGAGCATTCTCATCATCATGAAAATAACATTGAATGGCTGCAATATCACCATTCTCTGTTTCATAATCTGAACGAGCTAACAAGGGGCATCCACCATGTTCGATCACAATATCCAAAAACAATTTTGTTGACTGTTTTGGATAGTTGTTTGACTTGCATATCTCCAACCACAAAACCTTCCAACTAAAGCCATCAACTGCTGCATGTATAGAGAAGCCAAAGGTTGAGCTTATCATATCCTGTATGGAATTCATATTTATTTACAAAATCTATGCATCAGTTGTGCTGGCGAGGACATGGGTAAACTCTCCCCTCTATATTTCCTGCACTAAAGCTTCATATATGAGCCTTGAAAACGTTGGTATTATCAAACAGTACATAACATATGTAAATGACATTTAGAGATGTTTTTCCTTGGCTCCCACCACTGGTATGCACCATGAAATAGACAAAAAAATTTAACATATTCAAGTAAACTGAAATTTATTATCAATATGCCAACAGCGATTGGGCCATAAGACAAGTACTTTCGCCGTTTAAGTTGATTTCCCTTTATTTCCTTACTGGCCTTGGGATCTAGTTCATGGACAACATTAGCCTCAACACTCCGTGGGCATGTAAATGATGATTTATTTAGTAGATGCCAAATTTTACAGTAACCAGAAAGTTGTCCAGCTCCTTCCATTTCTGTTTATACAATATCCTTGAGATATTGCTCATCAAAATTGACATTTCTTTTCTTTAAGTTATATTTTCGTAGTTTCTTTTAATGTGCGGACACACGTCGTAATACCATGATATGTTTTAATAAATTGATGATGTCATCATACTTGTATCCCAGATGAAAATAGTATTAAATACAATCTTGCTCGTGGTGACAGGCATTTTGTGGAAATTCTGCAAATGCAAGAAATGTATTAATTGAAGTATTTTTCAAAATGTTCGGTACATTTCCTGATATCACAATAGTGTATAATAGCTCACACAGGGATGAATCATACACATAATGACATAATGCATGATCAAATCCTTCACAGACCACCGTTCAGTGATCACTGTTATGATACTATTAAATTTACCAGAAAATTCCTCTCCGCAGTTATGATAGTATTTTGCTGCCTCATTAGTAAACTCCGTGCCACATGCGCTACGAAAATGCGCCATTTAAAGGCCTCACTTTCGCAATACAAGTTTCACTTTGTGGTTTCACTTTGTGGTTTCCGCCGCCATTTTCAATTGCTAGAATTTGATATATTTTAAAACTAGAGCCGGTATTTGCCATTTCTACGGAGAAGGTCCATTTCTACGGAGAAGGTCCATTTCTAAGGAGAAGGTCTATTTCTACGGAGAAGGTCCATTTCTAAGGAGAAGATCCATTTCTACGGAGAAAGTCTATTTCTACGGAGAAGGTCTATTTCTATCGAGGCCTATTTGTACGGAGAAGGTCCATTTCTATTGATCAAGTTACAGTTAAATAAAAAGACTGCACATGAGTTTTGTGTAAAGAATTCGTGTCCCTTGTGGGGCACCGTAGAAATGAATGCTTAGAACTATGATATTTCAATATGATGCAACTTTTACCTTTTTAAGAGAATTCCTTACAGTTATTTTCAACATTTCTTCCAACTTTGGTTCTATGCTTTCACCTTCAATATATTGGCAAACTGTACATGAAATAACACGAGGCAGTTCACCACCTTGAAGAATCATTGTGGCAAACATGCGTCCAACCATTTCAAAGTATCCATTCTGAAAAGCCATAACGTTGCATCTGATAAAATTGCCAAGCGACGTACCTGTTATCAAAATTAAAAAAAAATGCATCTTTAGGTGTCACAAGATTTTCACATTGACCTACAAAAGCCTTACTAAAAAACATTTGCTGTCTTTAATGATTGATCCAATAAGTAGGTGAAAAGCCGTCTCCGAGGACCACCATTATCAATCGCAACCTTCTGCTCTTCAGTTTGAATAGCAACAAATGTGACATTCAGGGTGTCTTTTTGTTTCAAAAAGGCTTTTCGCCTTATGGATGGCTCTGTTCTATCCCAAATATTCAGCCTACTGATTACAATTTACCGAAGCTCTCCTGTAACTTCAGCCTTGGCATGTTCTAAAATGTGGTGCATGAGAGATTTGTCATATAAGTTTTGTTTTTCTTCATTAAATTTTTCAAAATGCTGACCACTGTGTGATCATTCATGCTGATCTAATTTTTTTCTTATGACCTCCTTAACAGCTTTGTTCTCATCAAAACCCAATGGCCTGAATAAAAAGCACATGGATACATGTAAAATAAAAACTTAAGCTTAATCAATAGAATAGTATTTACATAAAATCTTCCACAGAAAATGACTGAATTACGCCATGATAACTTCAATTTGAACAGCATCTAGTTGGGCATCTAAAGGCTGTAAGCCTTTATTATTTTTATCATATACCAAATATTCGTCATCTACCTCATATTCACTTTGAAAATATTACGATATTGGAATTTTACTGTCACTACTTTCCTTTAATAGACTCACTGGGCAAAGATACAAATTAATTCGAAAATGGGCTTTGCCTAGATCTTCTTTATATATACCAAAACATATCCACGATCACGAGAGAACTTACTGTCATAATCTTCCCATTTCTTCGAGGCTGCCTGCCGCACCTCATCATAATTCATACTTTTTCCAACTTTTACTGGAAACATCTTTCCAAAAACTCTTTTGTGCTTCTCTCCCTCGCACTCCATCAGCCCGATATTAAAACGCCGTCCTTAACGTTTTTTGATAAACGGGATTTTTTTAATTTCGGCTCGAAGTGCGAACGTCTCTCGGTTTCCTTCTCCTTCATGAATGTTGACAAACTTGGCAGAGAAACAAACGAACCACCAGAAGGCGAAGTTGTGGAACTAGGAGACGAAGAAGCCGAGACATTGTTAACCGAAGTATTAACTTGCAAATTACGAATCATTATATCACTAGTACTGCTCCTCTTTCTACCACAACTCGGACAGAATATAAAGGAAGCCTGCAAACTGTAACCACAACCAGCGCAAAACATTTCGTTCAGCGACAGTTCTCTTATTTTGTCTTATAACTATAATTCAAACGTGCTGAATTACGAACGAATTACGATTGGTAAACCATCATGTGGTAATCAGACTCTCTTTTTCTATATCACCCCTGGTTATGATTTGTCGTTCCCGGTCTACCGTAGATATGATTTGTAGGCTTTCTTACAGAACTTTGATTTTGCTTTGCGCTAAATGGTTTTGTGCATTTGGTCATTTTTATTTTGCATTGCAATATTCAATTTGTTTCAGGGCCTTTTCTAAGAATTTCTCAGTGGGGGGTGGGGGTGGGTGTATTGACAAAAGGGGCTAGTGTAATATAGTAATATAAGATATATAGAAATATCCATACTAAACATATTGAAAATATTAATTATTCTCATTGTTGTCTTATTCCATACAAACTAAAGTCTGCGAAATGATTTCTTTAATAAGTGTTTGTGTGCTTTTCGAAGTCAAGAAATGTAGAGAATGGATGATGCTAGAGATTTGTACTTGGTTGACCCAAGCACATGCGCATTTTATATAAATTAAAAAGAAAATTATGAGATTTAAAATAAGTGACTATCGACAATTTTAAATTAGGGAAGGCACTTCCAAATCGTACTTTGCTAGATATTGAGGTTTACGCTACAACTAATGTGAACAAATCAAAATACAAATCGTGATGAACTCGATGTACCACTTGAAAGTAAAACAAAATAGTTTCTGCTTTCCCGTTCGTAATATTGACCCTGAAATCATTTAATGATCCTTGTCCAAAATTCGTGCATCAATTGTAACTAGATTTGCTCGGTTATTAATTTGTTCGTATCTACTAATTATACTACTTGTGCTTCCAGGGAACAATGTTTCTTGTGGAGAGGGCGGTTTGCCATAAACAATAAGTGTGCCTCGTGCTCTGCCTATATAAGGTCCACTAGTCTAGAGTTTTGATAAAATATCGCGCTAAAATACCAGGCAGCCAATCTAACCTAAACAGTATCGCATACACCACGTCCCAATCTAAATTGCAACTTCCGTTTACCGAATAATTCCCAACAATGTTACTATCAAAATTGTGTTTATGATGTTTATAGCGTCCGCCATGTTGCTTGTAAGATTGCGGTAAATGGGAATTGTGTGGAATAATAAAGAATATGTGCCATAGGTCAGACATTACAATATAGGACTTGTCAAGAAATCGCCATGGAAGTACGATTTTTTACGTTTCCTATTTTGTGTCAAATATAATTGATACATTAGAAAATCATATTTTGCACTATAAACGATACAAAATATCGAAGTGGTCACATAAAACAAAGATGCTCATAAATTTTTAACAGCATCGAAAATCGGTAATTACATTTTGACGGTGATCATCCACCATCGTTTTTTGTGTCATGAGTGTCAAAAATTTGACAAGCTCATTTCTTTTACAATTTTCAACGTTGCAATGTCAGTGAGAACTTATGAAATTTGATAAAGCTTATAATATTGATAAATTGTTCTCAGAATATTTGTTAAAAGTTTTTCTTTAGCATGTTACACATACAAAAAAAATTGTGAAAACGCGAGAAATCGCATTTCCGACTTTTCAGCATTAAAATTTTCAGGAGGGAAGCCCAGACTCCTAAACTTGGATTCGCCCGTAATTAAAGGACTGTTTCTGTTTATTTTAATTGTTTTGAAACAGTGCGACAACGTTTTTGTCTGATGAATCTTTAGAAATTCAACTAAATATAGCCACCAAAAGTTTTTGCAAGTGCTGCACGCTGATCACTTTAGAGACACATTCGAAATGTTAATATTTTAATATATCTTGCATATTTAAAGCAATAATTTATCTTGAGCGCTTTATAGCTACATCTCATCCTGCTTAGAAACTTGTCAATTCTAATTATTAGTTAAAATAAGTGTTAACATTTTTTAGGGCAGGCGGTTTTTGATGAAGCATTTCTCATCGTTACACCAGATGTGGTTCAATATATTGTTGATCGCAAGAATAATAGCCTCATGTGTCATCCTTGGGGAGGCCAAAGTCTTGGGTATTGGTTAAACGATTTTAAGCAGGTGATTCCCTTTAGTGATAACAAAAGGTTATTATCACTTGATTCTCATGTTATGAAAAAAGTTATGCAAGAAAAAAAGTATGTGTAGAAGTTATGGGTCTCCACCATTCTTATCCAAATGATATGAAATTGTTTTGGAATTTATATTTGAATGAAACTAGTGATGGGCAAATTAGCGTCCCTCCAGTTATTTACAACTGTAAGTATCGGTTGGAAATGGATGTAAATACTCTTCCACGTTTATATACCCGTCCCAAACCATGCAAAAATAATCCAATTTGGAAAACGGAAAGTTTTTTTAAGGGATCTGAACATAAGTGGAAAAATAAGCGAAACATGGCACTGTAATTCTTTACACTTTTTTAATCATTTTTAGTTTTTATCTTTCGTTAGTGACGACAAAACGTATCGTGGAATACTATCTTTAAGAGAACTAATTAGTTTTCTGACGGACGTAACCTTAGTTCTTTAATATATAATGTGTAATCATACCTGGTATATTGTTGTAGACAATAAATGCCACAATTTTACGACAATTGTTTTTGTACTGTATACTTCACTTGCACAGAACACTTCTCCCACACAGTTTTCCCCAAGTAGCACAAATAGGTTACAACAACGTTATGGTAACTTTCGTATTAGCGAGTTTCCGAAATCACAACGGCAACGCCGGCGGCGACGTGCTGTCTGAATTTTTTAAAATTACGCATCCGCAAGTCGGAGGAAACCCCAAATAGACGTTCTTGCGTCACGCGACCGACGTGAATTGAATAAACATCGCGTTTCAGCGACTACCGGAGACGAAGGAAGTAAACATTGCTGCGCTGGGTGTTCTGGAGAAACAAAAAAGGAGGAATATGTTTACTTTGACCAGTGCTATTGCTTTGTGTAACATTAGTGTAGCAAGCAGACGCCATTAGTATAACAAAACTAAGTGCTTTGATGTATATTGGGACGATGTATTGTGTCATCTGGATGATACTGACAATATTTTTGACTCGAAATTTCAAGCAACAGCCTATATTACAAGAGGTTTATAGATGTGTTAATTATTTGCATTTGTTATGCCTAAATGAACACAAGCGTAGCTTTCACTCTTTAATTCAACTCTTTCGTTACGTGGATAAGCATTAATTGTTTTGATACATGTCTATTTGTTTAGTAAACCCATGGTTTTGAGTTCCTTGCATGATGACTTGTTTGTTCGCGAGATAATTATGTTTGAGCCATGTAATTTCAAGAAAGGTTCACCTGAATGAGGGAATTGTTGGAAAAATATAGCAGAAAGTGTGAATGAAATTGCTGATCCTTCGTTCAAAGTTAATGACAGATCTGTTAGAGATAGATTTAAACTGCTGGAAAAAAAAAATTAAAAGAAAAAAATTAATTGCATTGAGCATCGGGGGTTGCGCAAGAGGAAGAAACTTACATGGAAAAGGCTTGCGTGAAATTATAGCATTATTTAAGGATAGTGATTTGACCAAGTTATTGGAAAAAGAGAAACAAAAAGAGGCAACTGATAATGAAATGCAGCAAGCAGATGAGCTTCGGTTGCAATTGCTTAAAACGGTAAGGGAAACCTCCAAAAGGAAAAATAGTGATAGAGATGAGACAACACCAAAAAGAATTCGGAGGTCTGATGATACAATAAATTATCTAAGAGAAAAAAGTTAGAGAGAGAATTGCATATGCGACAACAAGAGTTGGAGCGCAAAAAAGCAGAATTGGAGGAGAAAAAGACTTTAGCAGGTGATTATGCAAGAAAATGGACAAAATCGAACTTTGCTGCAGCAACAACAACAACTTAACCTTGCATTGATACAATTTTTAGCAAACCCTAATGAACGCAAGTAAATTTTCTATCTTATGACGTTTATTTATGTTTCTGTTGGATAAATTGTTAAGAAACTTTGAGAACTGTTGATATTAATACATATTTTTAAGAAATAAGACTGTAAACATTAATATTTCATGAAGTACATTTAAGGTACTTTCACCTTAAAATTGTTATTGCTGAAGGACTTTTAGCTATGATTTCTTTAATGTTTGGGAATCTTGGCATTTATATGGCAGCGAAATCCTACATTCCTTCAAATGTATTTCAATGGACAAAAAATCTGTGGCCATAAGGTGCCATACTATTATTTAGCATATTAGAAACAAAAGTTTGGGGCTTTTCAGTTTATAATTATTGATCATTCAACCATTGGACAGTTATACTACACATTGTTTAAGATTTGAGAACACTGACATTGATTACACGAGAAGCTGTTTATTATAACCTGTGTCTATGAGTCTTTTTGATCCATGAAGCTTTCTATTGTGACAATTTGACTGAAATGGCATTAAACCAGAGTATTTCATATACCAGAAATGTTGTCCCATGTCACATATTTTCCACTAACTGAAAATTTTCCCATCTAATGTAGTGATGTCATGGTGTGCTGATCTACGGCTCATATCAGATTGTTTGCCCTATGGATGCGATATTCCTAAGCGCTATTGATGTATGAAAAGCATTTTCTACAAAATGAAATTGTGTTCCTAGTTATGTAGATAAACCTTGAAATTTGGCAAAACAGAAAATTATTTTTCATGATCACTAGGTAATTTTTGATCATTATAATTTCTAAACTAAATTATTTCAGATTTACATTTAAAGGAGCTTTGATCATATGAAAAGATATTTATCATAACCAGTAAGCATGCCACATGAACCAATTTTAACATTCATGTAATTATTTCTGTTTTTAAGACTGTAATTAGTAAGTGCCTGTATTTTGCCCTGTAACTACCTTATTTTATAACAAAACTCTATTAGCTCTACTGGTAGAACGTTACTATTTTGATTTCATTTGTACTTTTTCTCAAATTTTTCTTTAACTATCTTTTGCACTGAGGTTTATCATGTTGCTACTTAATTGTCTTTCGATTTTGATACAAGAGTCGTCTCTCAGTGTGCATAAAGCAGCTAGTGAGATAAATACAGAGAAGCAGATTACCGATTCTCTTGATTTAGTAGGCTCCAAGCAAGACTGGTGGATCTCAATTTGAGATACCTTCAATTTTAACAGCTTTATTATTTATGACATCGTCAGTTCAATTACATATTTAGAGTGACACGAACGAGTAAAGTGATTGAGAATAAGCAGTAATCCTTGTAATAGTATTTTCCAGGAGGTGAAACTTTACAAGAGGTTTACAGACGATTTTATATACTATATTGAAAACGAGGAAAGGGGCACTAAGATTTTTTGGTCATTGGTTCAATTCACATTTTCATGATATTCAATTTTATATTTTGTTCGTGCAGACTCAATATATATAGTTTTATGAAATAATGTTATATGCAGTGCGGTATTCAAAACATGACATTCCTTTCACGGGAAAACATCGGCCCAACAAATTGACCTGCTTTCCACTGTGTGAGTTTATAGTTCAGTTGGTTAGAGCACTGCACCATCGCAGAAGTCATGGGTACGAATCCCGTTGAGTCAATTGAATTTTTCAGGTTCATTAGACAATAAAGTGCGAATATCATATCTTCGTTTAATATATAGTTTGTCTGCTAGTTTACAGTAGCAAGCTATATCGATATTTCTGATGTATAAGATTGTATTTGTAATACATATAGTTTAGCCCTGTTCACCTTATACTTCAACAAGTCCTCACAAATGAAAAAATCAGATTTTTTATAGTAAAAAATCGAAGAAGTCTCTAGATATATCTACTCTATATTACGCTTCTACAAGTCAACAATAAACGTAATGTACCAACGTTGTCTTATCGTAAGACTTCAACTTTCGTGCAACGTAATTGTCAAACGTTAAGGTAACGTCTATTAAAAGTTGTTATTAACGTCGGTCCCGACGTTTTATTTACGCTCCTACGAGTGCACAAAAAACATTCTCTCAATATTACTATAGGGAGTTTCCAAAAGCATAACGGCAACGACAACTTCATCCAAGAGTTTTCCGTCACCGTCCCATATGTTACTCCTTCCGTCAATTGCTTAATTTGTTGTGAAACGTTAAAACTTTGTGGTACATCACTCACTGGTTTTATTTATACTTTAAAATAAATGGCAAGTTTTAGAAAAAATAGAATAGCTTTGCTGGATGCTCATGATGAGGATTTAATTGACAATGAAGAGTTCTTGGTGCTCTATCCACAAAAAAACTGTTGATTTCAAAGGATCTTAATTCAGCAGAACATGCATATATGAATATTCATCAATAACCTCCCTTCCCACACACTGACAATAACAGATCAAAAAATCATGATTTGCAATTTTGGGACTACGATCGATTTGACCTGGATAGCCTATGTAATGATGAGTGCAAAGTTTGGTTTCTCTTTTTGAAAAATGACATATAAACACTTTACGAAGTTGTACAAGTGCCTGAGGAAATGAAATGTGTTAATGGTTTTAATGTTTTGGGCCTGAATGCACTCTGTGTTCTTCTTTAAAGATTTGCATATTCTTGAAGGTATTTGGATATTATTCCTAGGTTTGCCCTATCTGTCTCACAACTTTCAATGATAAGCAACTTCGCCATAAACTTTGTCTATGAACATTGGGGTTATTTACTTCAAACATTCCAGCAAGAATGGCTTTCACCTGACAATTTTTCAAAATGCGAAATTGACAATCCGCCTTGGGTTTGTCCAGAATTCATAAAACTGCCTGTTGCCACACCCGTTTCACTCATTCTAAACGGGTATTACTCAGAGTTCTAAATTCTAGAATGCGGAAGATAGCCAATTTAGATTGCTTTCTGTGCTATCTAATAATGGATGCGGTGTGATGTATTTTGTACACTATTCTACACATAAGGATAATAATATCTGACATCGTCGCCATTTTTGTTTCCAAACATACACTAATAATATGTACCAAGGATTATTTAAATACAATGAACAACAGACCTGAAAAGTATAACAAACTTTCAAGAGAGAAATTGATGCTCTTAATTACTATTTTGAGAATGGCATGAAATCTACTCTGTGTTTTGAGCTGATAAAAACAGCCGCCAAAGAAATGTCGTTGTCTGTGAACACGGTCAAGGTGAGAACGACCTCTTCTTTAGTCGTCCGCCGACTTTAAAAAGTTTTTCTGTATGCATTAAACCAGGGGCGGATCTAGGATTTTTCAAACATCAGTCATAAAACGTTGGAGGCGCTCCGCACCTGGGGGGGTCTGAGGCATTCTCCCCTGAGAAATTTTGAATTTCAGAGTTTTGAAAATGCCATTTTCAGCGTTTTAGAGCAATACAAAATGTATTTTGTGGGCATCGTTTTTGCGTAAAAACAACACATTTTTCTTACGTTTTTTTTCAAAAAAAAAATAAAGTGAACAATACTTGAATGTTTTGCCAAATATTTAGGCTCATTATCATGCCAAATATATGGATTATTAGCATGTCTAGAAACGTAAATTTATTTTACAATAATGCTATTCAAAAACAGATATATTCTTTAAAATTTCTACCAAGTTGTCAAGCATAGACCCCCCTAGAGACCCCCATTCAAACCTCTATGTAATAAGTTAAGTTAGAAATTTGGTACTACAAGTGACAGTTCATAGATATAGAAAAGCTCATACTTCAAACCATGCAAGTTTATTGTAACTCTTTACCCATCTCCACATCAGTGCCAGCAAATTCACCCTTTGAGAAAAACTCAAAATTTTTTTCTGCCAAAGATTAAGCAAAAATTATCAGAGTGAAAATTTGCAGTTAAGCTTAATGCCATAAATGTTTATTAGGCATTTCACTAGACTATTATCTTCTGGAAGGTGTGCTATATAGCAATCACTAGTAGCATTGTATTATCAAATACAAACAGAATGTAACCAACATGTCTTTAATTATATAATTACATGAATGTTAAATATGGTTTATGTGTCATGCTTACTGGTTATGATAAATATCTTTTCATATGATCAAAGCTTGTTTAAATGTAAATCTAAAATAATTTAGTTTAGAAATTATATGGATCATCAGTAAAAATTACCTAGTGATCATGAAAAATACTTTTCTGTTTTGCCTAATTTCAAGGTTTATCTGCATACATAGGAAGACATTTTTACTTTATAGAAAATGCTTTTCATACATCAATAGCCCTTTGGAATTTATGGCAACAATCTGGTATGAGCCGTAGATTAGCACACCTTTATATCTCTACATGAGGTGTTCAGTTAGAAAAGGGGACAATATGTAACATGGGACAACATTTCATGTATGTGAAATACTCAGGTTTAATACCATTCCAGTCAAATTGTCAAAATAAAAAGCTTCATGGATCATAAGACTCAAAATCACAGGTTATGGTAAACAGCTTCTCATGTAATCAATGTTAGTTTTCTCAAATCTTAAACAATATGTAGTATAACTGTCCAATGATTGAATGATCAATGATCATAAACTGAAAAGCCCCAAACATTTGTTTATGATAAAGTAAATAATAGTATGGCACCTTATGGCTACAGATTTTTTGTCCATTGAAATATATTTGCAGAAATGTAGGATTTCGCTGCCATATAACGGCCACAATTCCCCAAGCATTAAAGAAATCATAGCTAAAATTCCTTCGGCAACAACAATTTTAGAAGGATCAATCTGCTTACCATACGCCATATTAACATAAATCGCATCACACACTCGCAAAAATTGACTTTGATATATTGCATTCATGCATACACTTCACTTGTCCTTTACTTACGATTTTGGATGTAAATTTCTGCTGATAAAACTCAAAACAATGTTGGCTTTCTTTTGAAAATCAATGACTGAAATGTCGCTCGCGAGATCGTCTTTGCCAAGCATTTACAATTCATCCATAAATTTTTCACCCTCTTGAAAAAATTCCCAGTTTGGAAAGCAGCATTCATGTCAACATATGAATTTGTAAAAGGTTTCCATAAATTCCATCTGATTGTAGTTTAGTTTCTATCATGCTTATAAAAATTGCTATGAACGGTCAACCATTCAATTCAGACATTGAGCTTGACTATGTTAGTTCAGTTGGCTATCAGTCGAAATCAGTCAAACCAATCACAGTAAGACAAAAATTCAAATGAACCAATTGTAAGATAGCAATTGGACTCCATTATAGGTCCGGCCACCCCTATTATCGGTCGAGATTATTCCAGACTGTCCACTGATCTGGCCATTGACCAATAAAATAGCGTTTCTGGCATTCATAGACTCCTTTATAAGTCGAACCAGTCAAGCCAACCCGCTTATCAGTCGGTTATTCCAGGTCAATTAAAATTCAACTGATCTGGTTACCAAGGAGATATTCATTGCATTAGTCATTAGTTTTCAATAATAAATAAAGCTGGATTTTTATCACGAAGTAAATGCGATAATAAAGTAAGAATAACACTGGTCAACAAAAAGAAAGTTTTTAAAAGGTGTCTGATATTTTTTGACTGATTTACTATATTTTTGCTATGCTAAATCTAGAAATAACATTCATTTTGCTCTCGGAGGTCAAATTTTTTTGCAAATTTGAATTTGAAATTATGCGACTTTAGTTATATTTTTTTAAAACAATGTTTTCAAGATTTACATGTTTTCAAGATGTTTCAAAACAAAATGTCAGTTTTTATGATAAAATTGCAGTATTCCAAGAAAGAATCATGTACACTTCATGTACAGTACATTTAACTAAAAATGAAAAGTTAATGTTTGCATTATTACGATCTAAATTTTCGTTTTTTTTGATGGTCGCGAATGTTTTGGTGCTTGCACATCTCTTTTTAAATTCCAACAGTTGTCCGCCATCATCACCATGTCCCACTTTTCTCTTAAGTCATGGTGAAAGCGCTCTCCTTGCTTATCGCTTAAAGAGCCAAGATTTTCGGGATCAATACCAGCTTTTAATTTTCAGTTGAAAATTGGGAAGGTTTTACAACGAAACTGAAAACACCGTCCATCTTTATCCAAAGTTTTAGTGAATTGCCTTATCAAACCGAACTTTATGTGCAGTGGAGGAAATAAAATACGTCCCTTGTCAACTAGAGGCTTGTTTATCACATTTTTTGCTCTACAACTTGCAAGCTCTTCACGTACTGGCCATTCTTTTTTCACGTAATGATGAGTACGATCCCTACTATCCCAGAGGCATAAAAAGTATGGGTATTTGGTAAATCCAGACTGTTGACCAAGCAAGAAGTTGACCATTTTTAAGTCAACGCAAATCAGCCATTTACGTTGGTCATAAGAAATTTTTTCTAGGACGTACTTAATTGCTGCATGCTGTTCTTTTAATGTTGTCGAATGTGCCAATGGCGCAGATGCAAATTGATTTCCATTGTATAGCAACACACATTTCAAAGACCTTTTGCTGCTGTCGATAAAAAGTCGCCAGTCCTCTGATTTGTAATTCAGGTACGCCGAGATGTTTCAGTAGCTCTACTATGTCATTGCGATAAACTAATTCTTTTTCTTGAGCAAAATATCTTAAAAATTCCTGGTGCCTGGTACGGAAGAAACTTACCTTAACTTTACCATTTAGCATGCTCTTGTCCTTTAAACGAGATGCAAGAAGTTTGGCAGAGTCTTGGCAAATTTAAATCGCGAACAAGATCGTTTAGTTCGTTTTTGGAAAACAATTTTGGCTGCTCATCATTGTCATCGGGAAAGGATGCATCATCGGTAGTGGCAATGCTTTGAGTTTCATCCTGGCTACTACTTTCTTCAATACTTGTATCTTCAAATACAAGTACGGGAATTTCTTCACTATAAGAGTAGGGCGCATAGCTGACGGTAGATTGGAATACTCCAGTGTTGTGCGATTTTTCTGTTAGTTCCCATGACATTGATAGCACAAAAGTATCAATCGGTTGCATGATTTGAAGGCTCTCGCGAAATCATGGGGATGCCAAAGTTCATGGACTTTTCGTGCCTTTGCTCCATTGACGGAGATGCTCTGTGCATCTTTTGTAAACCATGTGAGGTGCCCAACTTTTGTCTTGATCGCCGAGCTTCATGCCAAAATATGCATAGTAAACGCGCTTGATAAAGGTGGTGACAGTATTGCGATTTGGTGCAAATGTGTATTCACCACAAACATAGCAAAAAACATATGGCTTATTTTTATTACTTTTATTACTTTTACTTACATTAATATGTTGGTGTGTTTTAACAAGTTTTACCATTGAATTCCAGTATGGGCTAAATAAAGCCTTATTTTATCTTTAAATATCCCATAATAATCGCAAAACCTAAACTCCCTAATTGAAATTCAATCAATAATTGCTTATTCAAATGCTTTCTTCTTTGTATTGCTAGTGCTAAAAAATTTAAATTTGTTCAGATGATAGAACTTTAAAAGGTAAATGGTTAGTACTTCTGTTGTACCTTTCTCGGGTATTTAAAAGTTAAAAAATAGAAAATTAACGATAGCTTAAAATCTCGACCTGACCCAGCAAAAATAATGTTATTTTTGGACTCAGCACATCAAAATTGTCCAAAATCAGTTTACAAAACTGAGACACCAAATTTGCTGTTGACCAGTGTAATTAATGAATTTTTAATTAATATGAATAGGTAATTTTTGAATTTCAAACATCAGTTGCCCGACGGATTTGACATACTCTAGATCCGCCCCTGCAGTAAACCAACTACGAAACCAGTGCCATCAAATCAAAGCCATACGTATCTCAATCACATCCCTAAATTTGTATTTCTATTCCACAGTAATTTGTATGAAGTTCTACTTTAAACTTTCCTTTTTCAAAAAGCACATTCTAATAATGTATTATGATATACAATGGACATTCTTTATGTACACAGTTATAGGCTGTGAAACACAGTTACTGGTGCAGCTTTATTGTAACACTTGATGTTATAATGTCAGTAAAATTTCACAAAATTTGTTTGACACTGCATGTTTTGAAATTATTCAAAAGCTTCTTCACAACTGACATTATGCTTTTTTCAGAAATGGATTGCCAACAAAGTTGCTTCTGTCAAGAGAAAATGTCAATCTAATAATTCGCAGTCACCCCTACCCTCATGTAATCCACGAAAAGTCCCCAAAACACGAACCAGATTACAGGGGTCAAGCGGATATAATGTATTTTGCTAAGAATTTTTTAAATCAGGTGAATGAAATATCAAATCACTTTAGTATAATCAATAAGGGTTTAAGGAATGTTACCCATCAAGAATTCGCTATGATGAAAGCCTTGACAAATTTATCCATATTGCAGATGATGTAATGGGGTTGTCTCACCTGAGTGAAAAAAATAAATTGGCTTCTGTCAAATGGATTAGTCTTGGAGAATCCGAGCAAAATAAATACAAACAGAAAGCTAATGACATGAAAAACAACCCAGTGACATTAGATGATGCTCAAAGAACAAAATTGGTTGATCAGCATATGAAACTTTTAGCTGAGGAGGTAACATTTGTTTTAATAAATTCATTTTGCAATGAATAGCAGAGATAGCATTAAGTAATTAGAATAAATTAGAATAGGCTATTGCTTGGGAAGACTTTAATCTCTGGAAATGTACATAATTCATGGTATTCTGATAAAGGAAATTTATATTGCCTTAACATTGGATGCATTTCTTATAGTGTTATGTTGAGTAAAACTCTTTGTATTAAGCATGTATTTTTTGTGCAAACGTGGTTGCAGTGATTACCAGATAGAAAGTTATTTCTTATTGCAAACTTGTTTTTCTTTTGGTATGAAATTTGACTTGAACGTCACCTGGCATGAAAATCTTTTTTGTATTCTGGTTGTGTGGAATGTATCAGTTGAACTGTTTCATAAGACTATGAAAGAATTAATAAAGAAATGATTTAATAATAATAACTATATTTAATGGTAGTATGAAGTTTAAAGTTTGTGTGAAATTGAAAATTTATACAGTTACTAAATGCTGTGAAAAGTGATTGTAAAATTCTTTTGGTTCCAAGAAGATTAATCACTGAAGAGATGATTGTTGTTGCTGTTGTTGCTGATATTTTATGACAATATTTATACTTCACTGTCGTAATCACAGATGTAATGCAGACATATATGTCATATAATTTGGGATATGTAGAATAGTGTTTTGACAACAAAAGATTCTGTTTAATTCTCCATCAGTAATGATGATCATTACAATAGCATTGATGGTATGGCAATACATTTGTAGAAATAATAGTTATCATAGCAATACCAACAACAACAAAAGCTATGTATATTAAATAAAAAATAGTAGCAATAATAATAAAAACAAATGTCATCTCATGCCATTTGTGAAAGTCCATATTGTTGCAAACTATACATAGCTTTTTGCAGTACTTATGCCTAATGTGACCATTATCAATTATTTTACTTTTCTTTTAGTTCAGTTACTTGGAGTATCTGGTTTGCCAGGCCAGCTGCTTACTGGTGAATGGAAAAACAGAACTTTATGTCCTTGGTTTCTCAGGATGAAAAAGATTTATTCACAATGAACCAGCAGTTTTGTGCAAGTTTCAAGCAATGTTTGGTAAAGAGTAAAAAATTTGCAAAGATCAAAATGCGTAATAGGCATAAAGTTTAACTTCTATTGATACGTCAGCACCATTTTCATGGATACCAGTTACTGGATGGTAGTCAAGTAGATACATATGACTAAGTTTCAGAGCTTTACTATAATGTCATGTTACGTATGTTTGCAAAATGTTCATCCCATCGCAAAATAGCATATTTCTAATGGTAAATATTAAAGTATTTTTGCTATACGATAAAGTGGTATACGTATATAATATCATGAAACCATTTGCTACACTGTGTTTCACGCCTTTTGGCAATCACCAGGTGAATGACAGTTTAGTTGATGCTTTATTTTACTTTTATGAATTTATATTTTGCTCAATCTATAAAGATATTGAGCACGCTTTTATAACGAAAATTCACAAACTATAATTTTATATTGACAAGCCTGCTTCATGATTTCTCACTCTTCATTAAATTCTCTAAAAAGAGTAAAAAATCACGAAGCAAGCTTTTTGTGATAAAATTGTAGTTTGTATAGCTAAAAAAAATTTGTATGCTATATTTGGTAGATGTAGACCGAGAAAAACAGAAATGGACTCATGAGGATATAAGAATGCTCTTTAACAAGAAGTATAGTAAGTTAATTTTTTATTTATTCTTGTATGCAGGTCTTCACCATTGAGAGTGACGTGACCATACAGGTGTAATTTTAACCACCACAGGCCTGGATAAAGTATTTCACTCTATGGCTGCAAGTTTAAAAATATTTTTGAATAAATTTTTCATTAAATACTTTTGAAAACAGTATAATGTTGTTAATAACAGTTATGTATAAAGGTTGCCTGTATATTCCTTAATAGTAGTGTTTACCTTACAGTGATAGTTTAATTTTACCTTTTGATACACCTGCATAAAGAAATCTTCTCTGTTTTTTAATAAAAAGTATATGGAAGATACAAAATTTTTTCCTGTGAGTAATTTTGTAAAAATTACACTTTTTACAGTCATGTTGTTAAGTCATTATGTTTGTTAGTTCTTGTCAGTGAGCATTTTCTTAAAGGTGAAGCAAAAGGTGTGACTGGTTCTCGCATTCTATATCTTTCTGGTGTTTTTATGTTGAAGGACTACCAGATAACATTCGCCTGAAGAAGCCACAACAATATGGCTCAAAGGAAATACAGAAAATCATGGACTGCCAGGACAGTATTTCCTTCATTCTTGAAACGTCAGAAGGTGCACCTTTGCAAGATTTTGGTGAAGACTGCAAGGAATTGCTTAGTAATGTATTCGGAAAATGTGACTTTAAAGTATTAAAAGAAGATGTGGAGGTATTTGATATTAATGAGACACATAGCATTTCTGAAATCAAAGAAATAATATCAACACACTGGAAAGTGTTATGTCCAGAAGCTTTGACAGAGTTAAAAAAAATGAATGCACAAGTGTCTCAGGCAAATCATTTCGTTTTGCCTGTGTACTGTGATGATGAGGAAAGCTCTGGCTTTTTTCATTTACAGGATCCCTACAAGCTCTTACCAGATAAGCGCAAGAGGTAAATTGACAGGATGTTGGCTAAATCATGAGTCAGGCAATACCTTCCATCGTATTGAAAAAAAGGAAACAATCTTTGGAAAAAATATTATTAAGGACAATGGCAATGTAATTTTTGAGACTCATGGGTTTACTGATTATACCCAAACCTTCATATTGAACAAGTCCTTTGAAAGGAAAGTTACTCAAATTTTATCAAAACAGGGATACATATAGTTTTCAATTTCACACCAATGAAATAAAATTTATTGTTCACAATGGTAACAGGTAGCACTGCAACATGTGCATTGTAATCCACTCAGTTTTCAGTTTTAGTTGGATTGTAAATAAGTCAGTTTTAGTAGGATTGAACATGTTTTTTTAAAAGTCAATATTCTTCTATTCACATATAAGCCATGAAGAATGTCTAATTCTATAATTAAAATTTCGAAGATTAAAGCCCAAAAGTAAAAACTACATTATATAGAAAAATAATTTTTTTTGAGGGGGGGGTTCTACCTTTCACCTACACAAAGACATGCACAATTCACTGGATGGGCAAGTAAGATATCATATTTGTAAAAATAACTGTAATAATTGAGATACTTATGCATTAGTAAAAAATATTTATGTTTGTGCATGATGTTTTAAACGTCTTGCTATTGACAATGCATTGCAACCAGAAGAAATAGCTTTGGACAATTAAGTTAATTTCTCTTGCTGGCATAATGCACATGTTTCTTTTATTGCAAGGAGAGTAGTTACTTTATGTAGCAAGATGCCAAAGTCGAAGCAGTCTTGCTGACTTAAGTTGTTGTCAATACTTCCACATAGAGCTTTGACTTCATTAAGATTCAGAAATACTGGCACCCAAACTTTTTTCTTTTCTTTTTCTTTCACAACAATAATGTTCTGAACTCCAAGACCTCCATGAGCAAATCCACAAGAATGCAACAGCTCTATGCCTTCCCATATCTTAATTAACAAAGATGTCCACTGGGTAAAAGTGATTCTATGACTATAGCACAATCCTTCAAAGGACATGTACACTCCAGTTCCTACATGACCATAAAATTTTGTTATTAAAATGAATGGCTTTTCCCGACAAATACTAATTAAGATTGGAAAACATGGATGAGATGGTAAGCTAAGAATAGTTCTTGCTTCATCAATAACACCAAACTCAGATTTCCTCACTGCAACTGCCATTCCTCTAAACCAACATAACTCCATGCTATCAAAATTCCCATTTGGGAATGAATATGTAGGCTTCTTTGATGAGGAACGTAGCAATTCCGACTTATTGATACTCATTCAATCAGGTAATACACATAGCATTTTATTCGCAGTTGAGCAATCTATGAAATGAGACAAGAAAATAAAGTTTTCTCCATATCCAAGGTAGTTCTTCTCAAGATGGAAAATCATTCCTCCCCACCAAAAAAAGGCCCTTAATATTATATACAATAACACCAAAAATTAAGCCCTTCCTCAAATGATTCTTATCGTGTGCCTCTGAAATTTATGTTAATTAGGGACTGCGCTAGCTATTTCAAACCATACCATTTTCCGTATGACATTGGTTAACATTTTCAATGGCGTCGATGTGGCTAATGCCAGAATAAAAGTAGACATGATTGCTATGAATTCGCTTCACCGTAAGAAAACACTTTCGTACAATGAACCCACACTCTCGAACAGATATACTCTTATATTTATTTCTCAACACTTTTAGAACATCTGAACATTTTACGCGACATAAGGAATCTTGATGAAACAGAGTTGACAACCTATAATAAAGTCATATATAACGATTAAGGACACAAGCGACTGCGTTTACATATACGAAATGGAAGTGATGGCAGAAAGCTGATATAAATATACGCTTTCGATATTACTATTGTCGATTTCAGTTAACTTTTCAAATGGCGGTTGCCAAGTTACTTTCTAATGTTGCCGACTACATTTCCAAATATGGAATATTCGTTATGAAGTTGTAAACTTGAGTTGACAATTAAATGAAGATATGATCTTCGCACTTTGCAGGACAATTTAAGCAATCGTCTCAGGAACCTGAAAAAATCAGGTGACTCAACGGGATTCGAGCCCATGACCTGTGACCTTCGATTCCCTTTGAGTCACCTGATTTTTTCAGGTTCCTGAGACGATTGCTTAAATTGTCCAGCAAAGTGCGAAGATCATATCTTCATTTAATTTCGAACACCGCACTGCATAAAACATTCTTGAGTTGACAAGTTGTGTACTTGAGTACTGAAGTTGGGAACTTGAGTACTGAAGTTGTGAACTTGAGTACTGAAGTTGGGAACTTTAGTACTGAAGTTGTGAACTAAAGTTGCGAAGTACTGGCAAACGCGAAAGGTCTTTGTACCCTGTAGACATTTGGCAATGAATCCGTTCAGTAAGCAAGGAAAAGCTTTACCAATAGAAGTAAGAAATGAAATACTTGAAAGGTGGTTAAATAACCAGCGTTTGACAAACATTTTGAAACAACTAAATCTACCGTATAAGACTATATCAAATATAATAGATCTATGGGTAGACACTGGTTCTATTGCACCTCGCCAGGGCGAACGTGATGTTCGAGCCACGCGTAGAGATGACGTTATTGCATACGCTGAATATCTGAAAATTTATAAACCATCTATTTACAAAAAAGAGATTCCACAACACCTAGAAAATATCAAAGTTTGCCTTCCAGCAAACATACCTAGCAGGTGATCCATTAGTAGAATTTTTAATAAAGATCTTGGTTACTCTTACAAGATAATAAGTCAAATTCCTCGAGAGACAGAACGGCCGGACGTTATGGAGAAGTTAGAAGCTTAGGTAGCAAATATTTCATAGATTGATTGCAACCGTATACATTTCTTTGATGAGTCGTCTGTAGTTGTTACGAGTGGCAACAGACGTCGAGGGCACAGTTTGCAGGGTACTCCTGCATTTAAAATCCAGCGATACTTTTCTAGTGCCACATTTACTGTAAATTTTTTACATAATGTGAATGGCGTATCGCATTATAACACTCTAAGAGGGCCGTCAACCGGATTAGAATTGCTAAAGCTTTTCCTTGCTTACTGAACGGATTCATTGCCAAATGTCTACAGGGTACAAAGACCTTTCGCGTTTGCTAGTACTTCGCAACTTTAGTTCACAACTTCGGTACTAAAGTTCCCAACTTCACTACTCGAGTTTCCAACTTCAGTACTCAAGTACACAACTTGTCAACTCAAGTTGACAAGCTCATAACGAATATTCCATATTTGGAAATGTAGTTGGCAACATTAGAAAGTAACTTGGCAACCGCCATTTGAAAAGTTAAGTGAAATCGACAATAATAGTTCAGTACGCGTAAGGATATTTTGATGCTATTGTGGCGATATGTTGTCTATGTGGAATTCGTCACATAGACAAACATGTCGCCACAATAGCATCAAAATATGCGATACGCCTACATGAACTATTAGTAATATTTCTTCCAGGGATTTCTTGGTCTTAGTTAGAAAACACAACATGAGTGGTCAATCTACAGATTACATGTAATTGTATTTGTATTGGTGATATTCGACAATCATTAGTTTAACTAATGCACATATTGACGTGACTGGTATCGAAGTTCTAAATTTATTGCTTTTACTCGAAATTACCGAACATTTCATTTTCTTTGGCGTTTCTTGTGCAACAAATTATAGCACTATGGGTAAATTTCCTCTTTGGTTTCCTTGTTATTTTTGTAACGCATCACACAAGTACGTACGCGACATAGCGAATGCAAATTCATATACTCAAATTTTTGCTATTAAACGACGGACATGTGTCGAAAGCCACTACATTTGCTGGCGATATGTAGATCGTCTACTAATGTTGTTCGCCGACGAAGTCCAGATAAACCCTGGAAGAATTTCTGACTAGAGTTCAGCCAATATTTTAATGCTATTATCCCAATGTCCCAATTTGTTTGTCTTGTGAAATTCGGAATTATATATTTAATACGCTTACTTTATGATGTCATGTCAGTTTCGCAGATGGAAACTTATGATGACCGTGGGCAGGCCAGACCAGGGTAAGACTGGGACGAATGTGTTGTAACTATTTTGAATTGTGTGGCGAGTATTTTGAAATGTGTAGCGAATATTTTGAAATGTGTAGCGAGAATTTTGAAATGTGTAGTGAGTATTTTGAAATGTGTAGTGAGTATTTTGAAATGTGTAGTGAGTATTTTGAAATGTGTAGCGAGTATTTTGAAATGTGTAGTGAGTATTTTGAAATTATGTTTTCGTATTGTTTGTTATGTTTTCTAAATTATTTTTCTGGTGACCCGTACCGGTCACTGTAGTTCACGGATTCCGGTTGACAAAAAACACCACAAGTGGAGACACTCTCACCAATTTGCACGAGCTTCTCGAAAGTGAGACGGTTTATGTTTCTTCCTGATGCATCTTTTTTCGGCATTGCTTCAACTCAAATGACATAAATGGGTTTTAATATGGACGGGCAGTACAGTTTATAAGAGTATGCAACATATGTGAGTAATGTCCATTGTCCATATATAAAATAAAAACAATTGTACCCGCTCGGTGATTGGTCTATAGCAGTGATGGCATTAACCTGTGCAAACCGATTTCAACTCAACCAATCAATTCAATCTATAAACCAAAAAAAATTTGCATATCGATGTAAATTTATCTGTTTCGAATTATTGTTTCGTATCATTGTATACAAGAGGTAAAAACTGTTTTTCGTGTTTGCACCATTGCATTGGCTTATGCAAACCTTTAAGCCGTTTGTGGGAACTCGAACAGATGCAATCGTGCAACCTAAGACCTTCGGTCTCCTGCTTGGACTGATCTTCTCTCGAGTTTTCCCAAAGGTCTCATTGGTTTGTACAAGGCAAATTGTATTTCTCAGATAGTATATGGGCATATGTGACTTAAAAGATCTAACAATTGCCCTATATTAATTTAACACCTTATACATATTAAACGCCCTCCTTGCAACGCTACTTACTAATAAAGTCCCGTCCTCGATAGACACCCACCACCTTCACAACATTACCTTTATGATATATTGATTATAGTGGGCTCACAATTTGGCTTATAAGAAGTTTAGCTTGTCTTAGTTTTGTTTTATTTGTTCACACAAACAACTAATATACACGTCTCTCTTTTCATTTCGCTGCACCACAACATCTAGAATTGATTAAACGCCCTGGCCGTTAATAAATTCATTTACGGTACCAACGAACACTCAAAATAAAGCAACATATATATCATAAATGAATTCCAATTTTAACAATTCGAGAATTTCGCTGCGTCGACATTTTCACTTTACAGTGATTTTTGTGAAATAAACAGCACCGCATAATCCAATATCATCGACATATGTTATTGTTACACAAAATTATGCAGTAGCCAGTAGCAATGTTTTGTTGCAACAAATAGTTGACAGTTGTGGCTTTAAATTTTTTTGACAAATTAAGTTTCAAATAAAATATTGATTTTTTTAGTTAGTACAACGACCCTTATAGCATGGACTTTATTACTAGAAGAGTATGTAGCATCTTATAATAAAAACAACCCCCAAAAACCGATCACGTTCTTTTCTTAACATCAAAATTTTACTTTAGAATGTGATTGTAGGGAGGGTTGGTATTGCATAGACAATATTTGAAGCTCACGGCAAAAATGCGTGATACGTAATACGTGCAATGATTACGGTAGCGTGCAACATGACAAGAGTGTTCGATCTGGCTTACGTGTTCTGTGAAATGGCAACAGTGCTCAATAACGTAGATTAATAATTTTGAGTTTCATATTATTTCAATCCAAACACGTATTCGGTTTCATTTCTCATTCACCTCTTACAGCAGCAGTGCCAACAAAGGTGCCGAACCAGACCGCACTCTCTCGTCAGCATCGTTTCGTTAGCTTGAACATCGGTAAAGTTAGTCATCTGTTTGGAGTTAATCTCGAGCAAAATATGAAACATGGGAAGGCTTGTGACGCTAAAAGACAAATTGGATGATTTAGACGGACAAATCATGAAATTCGATGTTTTCAAAAACTCGCCCCAGACCCCGTTGATCAACTGACAAAGCTTGGATACGTCTTGGCTATTTTATATATGATATGAATGCTCACAATTTTAGATGAATTGGGTTGGGCAGACAGAGCTAAATGGTTAAGATACATGTGGCATATAAACACTTACTTGTAAGACATTGATAAAAAATAAAGAACATAGTTCTCTCACAATTCAATGACAGGTCAAAACATCCGGTGTTTTTTACAGAAGAAGAGAAAATGACTGTGCACTAACATGACATCACAAAACCAATGTTTGCTTGATATCAGTTATACTAGATACGTGAACAACTAAATTACATAATAAGTACATAAAAAGTAGCTATTAGTTTAAGAATAGTAGCTATGTCGTCCATTCAATGTCACTGTCCACTTCTGAGAGCTCTTCGATGTTTTCATCTTCAGTATCGGATTCCTCGTACGTTGAGCTTTCAGATTCATTGGGAATGTTGAAATCATTGGTTAAGTTGACAATCTCAGCCTGAAGAAAAAAATTTTCTCCAAGTGGAAGCTCAAAACCTTTCTACAAGCTGAACAACTCATTCCGCAATTTGGTTTTAAATCTTATCAGTTCATGCTTTGAACCAAGCATGAATTCATCGCTGCTAAAATCACCAAGATCAGCAAGTGCTTCATCAATTTTTGAGATAAGATTGGTTTAATACAATAGAAGCCTTTCTCCTTCCAAGTTTAAAGGTTTTTCTTCCTCGTCACATCGTTTTAGGAATAAGTACATTTTAATATCCTTCCTCTTTGTGCATACTGGGACCGAGGCTTCCCCTAGAATGTCATCCTCACAAGACTCAAATCCCTCATAAAGGTCTGATGAAGGATCTTTTGCTTTGTCAAATGTCAGACGATCGGGTAAACTGTTTATAAAATCACGAAGAGAATCAATGGCAGCATTGTGTTTCTCAATTGTTAATTTCATCTTGTTCGTGATCTTGGTGATTTGCCTGGACAAGCGAGTGGCAATTTTTTGACCATCTAAACAAGTAAAAAGAATAAAAAATTAACATTTACAAGAACAACAAAAGACAGATATGGTAACATATCTTAGGTTACAAGTATTCGAAATTTACAGTGCCTTACAGTACCTGCATACTTCTTTCTCAATGTTATTAAGAAATGCCTTTCTATGGAAAGTCCATGTAAAGCTCCGATAGTATCTTTTCGTTTTCTTTGAATGACGTGCAATGCAACGACGTCAAAATTATGATGACCAGGTTTCCATCTTTCTTTTACAGAATGCTTTCGTTCAGTATCTTTTAAAATCTTTCAAAACCTGTTTACATAAATTTTGCGCGTATGTAAAAAAAACTTTAAAGCAAAATATTGCTTTGACACATTTATACATACTGGTATAGTTTTTTCGACATCTGATGAATTGAGTAATCCTCAGGGGCCGGTAGTATAAAGCTCTTAACTTCTTTTTAACTGCACTTTTTGCAGTTAAAAAGTAGTTAAATTTAACCACGCGGTTAAGTCGGTTGTATAAAAAAGTAGTTAGCACTAAATGCAGTTAAAAGGTAGTTAAAACTATGCTATGGAGCATAGTTAACTTTTCAAAACACAGTTGAATATGGCGGCTTTACGTCTTATAGATATTTTTGAGCGAAATGCAATCGATCGGCAACGTTTACCTCGAGTTTTTAATCGACATCTTCCATGGCAAGGTTTTTCCGACAATGACCTCCGAAAACGGTACAGATTTGGCCGAGAATCGTTGCAGCATATCTCACGATTGATTGCAAACGATGTACGGCCAACAACAAACCGTAACAAAGCCTTGTTAACCGAAGAGCAATTGGTCATTGCTCTTCGTTTCTTTGGGTCCGGGAGCTTTTTGCAAGTCATTGGCGACACTCACGGTTATGATAAAGCCACTGTTTCGAGAGTAGTGCGTAAAGTCGTACTTGCATTGGCTTCTAAGCACGCAGACTACATCAATTTCCCATCAACAAATGAGGAAAAAAATGCTATTCGTACTGGGATGTATCAAATTGCGGGTTTTCCCTGCGCCATTGGCTGCGTTGATGGCACACATATACGTATAATTGCTCCTTCCCAAAACGAGCCAAATTATGTAAATAGAAAAGGATACCACAGCATAAATGTTCAAGTCATTTGTGATGACAAAGGTAAATATGAACATATTGAACATGTTTAATTAATATTCAAAACCATAATGTACTAGACTTCAAGAACCATAATATAACACACTTCAATAATCATAATATAATAGATAATCATAACAATAGAATTTTACAAAGTTATCCACTTAATTTATCTTACAAGTATTAATACGACCTACTTGATATAAAATTTCCAAAAATTAATTTTATGCAGGCAAATTTATCAATGTGGTAGCACGATGGCCTGGATCATGTCATGATTCATTCATCTTCCGTTCCTCTAGCATTGGTAGAAGGTTGGAAGAAATGGATCATGCAGCAAATAATGATGTACTGTTGGGGGACAGTGGATACGCCTTACGGTCATTTTTGATGACTCCATACGTCCATCCAATGCATCCATGCCAAAAAAAATTTATCAAGGCACATAAAAAACAAGGTGTTTTGTTGAAAGAACCATTGGCATATAGAAAAGAAGGTTTCATGTTTTGCATTCAGAAATAAGGTATCAGTGAGTCTTTGTGAGCCTTAATACAACATCAAATGCTAGCAAGAATGTTTACTCTATTTACGATGAAATCAGATAGAATCTGCACCATTTTAATGGCTTGTGCAGTATTGCATAACATTTACATTCTAAGGCAGAAGCCTGAAGTTGAAGATGCTGTGTTCGGAGAGGATTCACTTGAAGAGGAGGAGAAATAGATGTAATAGCAGCAAGGGAGCATATGGCACAAACATATTTTAGCTGACTAGTTTCAAAGAAAAAATGAAGGGGGTTGTTCATTGATTTCAACTATCCTCTCAAGTAACTGTACTTGTAGTTCGAGTTTTCTTTTCTTCAACTCTAGGTTGTGCTTCTGAAACAACATTTTTTCTTTTTCCAGTTGAAGAACCTAAACATGAAGTTGCTGAACATCATTTTTCATCTCTCCTTGAGTGTTTGGTCGTTTCCTTTTGAATGTTCTTAATTCTTTGTCTGTGAATTAAGTTCAATACAATGCACAAATAGACTTTATAAGTTCTGAATACAACAATGGATATAAACATAATTAAATGCTCACATTGTGATAGTGTGGATGTTGTTGGTATTGGAGTCTTGCTTAATTCCATGTCCTCACCACCCTCATCTTCTTCGTCGGTTTCGACCAAAGTGCTCAAGTGAGATGAATTACTCTCTTTCTCTGCAAAACATTAAAAAAACATAGCACAATGAAAAGATGAAAACGTATTACCTTTTTTCTTTTACTGTATATTTTTCCATTATGCAAACAAATCACCAAAACTTAAATCAATACAATCGTTTCATTCAGCATATAAAAATCATATTTCGTATTTTGTATTTATAGCATCGAATTCTTTGTAAAACAACTTTGGCAATACTCCATTTTATCCGGCCATTTTATTTCGGGATGGGTTGGTTGGTATAAGTTATATTGTTATGCTTAACGTAATGGCGGGAAAATTTAAAATCCCTTGTGTTGTATTAAAACGTAAACAAAAGACAATAACAAAGTAGCATCTTGCTTTTGCTTATTTTTTTACGAAGAATTCTTCTATGCATTTCAAAGAATGAGATTTTAAAGATCATAATTACCTACAAATGTACCAACAGACTCGAAGCCTCCTTGAATACCTGAGAATGAAGGTTAATCTCCCAAAATATTTGTGATTTTCTCCGTTGTTAAAGAAGGCGGTTTTGTAGCAGGACCTCCCCCTGTTTTTCTTTGCGAATTCATTATTCCAGCATTGGTTTTTTTGGCAATCTGTGCCAGGTTTCTCCATTTTTCACGCACCTCTTTTGGCGTGCTATTTTCAAACCCATGCTGTTTATTTGCGAGGTTATCTTCTCCCACAACTCTTGTTTTTTTTGCATTTGTTATGCTACTTGAAAACTGCCCTCGTATTGCATCCAAATTTATCACAACAAGCTCAACAAGAAGAGAGCATTCTGCAGAGCTAAAATTTTGTTTTCTTTTTTTAATTTTATTTGAGGACTCAGCTGTGATTGATAGAGAAACATCTTGGATTGAAATGATATAATACATCTACCAATGATAACAGTTACACAACGAATGCATGATTATGATGTAACAGAGAAGAGACGTGAGTCATTTGAAAACAACTACAGAGTAATCACCAATGAATTTTATAAAAACTTCATTATGCAATATCAATATCACAATGCAAAACAATATATTGTCTTTAAATGTACGTTAAGCAATTTTCAAGGGTCAGATAGCTGAACCATGAGAATTAAATAGCCGAAAAGAAAAAGGTTAAAGTTCACATGACATGTTTTCAAAAACACAATATTATGATAGTTTAGACTATTTTTAGAACATTTGAAATATATTTTATACTTGAAAAGTTTCATCTTCATGGACTTTGGATGCCTTAAAGTTGGTTATTTTTTGATTGTTCGTGATGTCAAAAGGCCTAGGGCGAGAAAAAAAAATAACGCCGGATCTGACGTCAAATCGGGAACACGCTTTTGAGTGCTTTTCTCGAACAAACACAAGACATAATACTATACTAAAGACACAGCTATAAATTCTAAATTTTATTACACTCTGAGTAGAACCATAAGTTTTTAAATTTTATATTATGCGCCTGAAAAATTAAAGATGTCTTCGAGCTCTTCGCTTTCAATTGAGAGTCTAAATGATTCAGATAATGATTCGATTTCAAAGTTCATGATGGGACCCGAAGAGAGTTTGGTTATCGTCGATCACCTAAGTGACTCTATTGATGCGTCTGAAAATTTCATTGAATCACAAATTTTGCCATATCAAGATGAACCTGATGCTGATGAAGAATGGGTTCAAAATTATCATGACGGATTACGTGAACGTTAATTTTTTTTGGAAACGCTGCTTGATAGATTCAACAATCGTGTGCCTTTGGAGCAATGGTGAGTAGATTTATTTGTTAAAATATTTACAAGTTAGGGCCATAATTCACTTCACGCCAAGTCAATGAGCGTTATCTCAGTTGCGCAGCGTTCTTTGTTCACATTATCAATTCAAACAACAAGTTGTATTCCAACATGAACAAATGCATGCTCTTTGTATTTGTAGGGGCATTTGTGATAATTGCAGGACTAATATGCTTCAAAATGAAAAAGAGAGTCAGTGTTGCCAAGAACTTGACGAATGCATAGAGTCCTTAAACAGTGAAATGGTGCTGGGTGAAATGAAAGTTGTTCCTTAATGTATTACACTTCATCCAGCATTCAATTCAGTGTGTCTGGATATTTGGTCATTGCGAATGGCAGGCCCAAAATTCAGGAAAATAGATGGAAGAAAATATGCGAAACATGATGATGAGAACAGGTACGTACATACCTATGTGCTTTCATCTTTTGTTAAATTTAATTATTGTGAAACAAACATTTGTTTAATTTGTAAATATAGGTATTTAAGAAGTGTTGCCTATCGAGAGTTTACCCAGCCGTGCATGGTTACTTAGGAAGGAAAAGGATACCACTGCCTGCTTGTGCCTATAAATCAATAAGGTCTCGATTTCCTGGGAAAGATTTCCAAGGTTATGATGATGATGAACTTGAGGATGAATAAATTACTATTTGTATGCCAATATTCACCCTCATTTTGGATTCTTGTTCCGTGGACAGTCAAGGACATATTGATGGCCTTTCATTGCGAAAGAAAAACAATGTACTTTGGTTGCTTCCTTAAATCTCCATCATTTGCTGCATAAACACTGCAACAGAAACAATCCTAATCATACATCAATGATGATTTCTATATAGCATGTGGTAACATAGAAAGTTTATAAGTACCATTTTCCATCAGAATCATCGGTATCACTGTCTTCTTCACTTGATGTTTGATTTCCTGAAATTTCATCCTCAGTTTCCCCATCTGTATATGAATCTTGAGATTGTTGCTCCTCAAAGTCACTATCCACATGCTTTGCACTATCTTCATCAATTACATCAGAATAATGAGCATCATGAAAGATGTTACTTTTCTCAACATCATCTGAAAAAAATTAAGTACATTTACTAAATTACTGAGTCGCTTGAGTTTATATATAGCTCATTAGCTAATATTCATAGATACTGCTTTGATCAATATTCCATAACTGATACAATTTATTAGATTTGTCATCTAATATTCATAACATTATACAATAGCATACCATATCTCATTCGAGCTTTGTAAAACAGCATCTTTCTTTTCATTTGGAGCATCTTGTTGATCAGTTTGACACAATTCTGACATTTCAATGGCAATGTCTGGACCCATTTTTCATTTACATTTTCCCAGTTCTGCAAACAACAATATTTTTTTTATTTTAAACTACAGGGTGTATAATAATATTGTTAGAAAGTACTTTTTGGTTGAATATTACTTATTTCTTAAAATATGCCCTAGAAACGATTGTGGATAAGGGAAAAGTTTATTTACTTTATAAAGTTTTTTGTTTTGCTAATAAACAAGCATAAAAGACATATCAAGAAGTCTGGGATTAAGCTCATTAACATCAAACGAAATGCATAGAAAAACATTTTTTGGACTTGTGGCAAACTACTTTAAATAAAAAGCAATGATAATATAGGTCAATCAGTGTGACTAATTATTACTTCAGGATAAGTTATTTAGTAAATAAATATTGTCATGGGGCAAGACCTGTCATTGAAAGACCCTAAATCGAGTTATTTCAATTTTATTCAAAGTGAGGTAACGTACGCTTACTGATTTGTAAGGGTCTTTGATTAGTTCATGAAAACTGTCATCTGTTTCATCAGGAAAAGTCACAGTGTCTGTTTGCATATATTCATCTGCTTTTTCTGTAGATACATTAGTTAGAGAAGAAGAACAAGGCTGAGAACATTCAATATTTTCATATATGCTTCCTTTTTGAATCACGCTGCACTCTTCGTGATCTGCATGTTGAGCGTGAAATAGCTGGAATCAATACTTTTTACAAAAGTACTTAGTGACACATACGAAAAGGAGAACCATTCATGGCTATTTTTTAAAAAATATATAATACTCACAATGCGACGACGATCTCGTTCTGACAGCACTGTTTCTTCTGTTTTAAACTTGAAAGGGCAGACACATATGCCAATGCTATCCCTTTTTAATGTGGGTGCTACAAGCAGCGGTTTCTCAGAATTACATACTCCCATCTCACCAGTGTATCGACACACAAAGTCATCCTCTTTAAAATGCTTTCAGCAAACTTCGGAAGACGAAGAAGGTTCCCAATTTTTTCGTTTCCTTTTCACAAAATCAACCCAAGCTTTCCTACGTTTGTTAGCTTCGGGTCTTTTGTCATTTGCATATGGGATTTTATGGAGAGCAATCTCCTTCTTCAAATTTGACGTGTTTCAACATCCAAACACGACGCATCTGTGTGGAATTTTCACGAAAAAATTCTTTCGCAAACGTATTAAAAAAATATATTTTTTGTGGTGCTTTAAGACAAACGTTCCCGAATAGTACAAGTGTGTTCCCGATGTGACGTCACTCATGCAATTAGTTACATTGTTGTTACCAGTCTTTTTATACTCACGGTCAATAGGAAGAAATATTAAAAATCCGCAAATTCAAGGTGCTCAAAGTCCATGAAGATGAAATTTTTCAATTATAAAATATATTGAAAACCTTCTTAAAATCATCTAAACTATTATAATATCATATTTTTGAAAACATGTCATGGGCACTTTAAATATTTTTGAGAATAGATTTTAAATTAAATAAGTTAAGAGGAAATATTCTATGTACCTGGGGACACTCAAAATCTATAATAAACAAAATGGCATGAGTTTAACAGGATAGAAATGACAATGAAGACGAAATGAATACAATACTTATTCTATATCCCTATGTTACATTTTAATGACAGAGGAAAGATATGTCTTAACAGTCGTGAGATTACATTGTAAGTATGATGACCTTTAAGAAATGTTTGCTAACAAGTCTATCGATAAAAAGTCTATGACTGTCTTCTTTTGCTCGTACAGTCATCCTGTGACTAAATGTCTTGTTATAAAACAATGATTAATTTTTTTGGTTAACAACATTTCTTTCAATGATTAGCAAAACAATATCTTTCTCTTTTATACACTATTTATGATAGTGTCAATGGCTGTTTAAAGCTATTCAAACACTTACCAAGATGCAAAAAGTGGGAAACAAATAGAACTCCCAAGCTTTAGACAAAAATAGGCTAATAAATCACAAAGGCATGAACAAAAGTTCAATAGCTAAGGCTCATTAACAAATATACCCAATAGTTTTTATAACTCAGTTTTTGGAAGGTAGAATTAGAAACAAATAAGTATTTTGTGTATAGCTGTGAATATAATATGTCACAAGCCGAATAAAAGACAGTTGCTGGATAACATGGCTACTAACTATGACAACTCAAAGAAATGTTTTCTAATGATAAAAAAGTCCATCACTGTCATCTTTTACAAATATGTGTGACTTATGTCTGTACAAACACATTTCTTTCAAGCAATTTACTCAGCTGTTATAAAGAGAAACGAAACGACCCTTTTCCTTTGTTACCCTCAATCTCTCAGTTTTAAATTATGTAAAAGCAAGGCCATTTTAATATTTATATCCTTGCACATAGAACACAATATGAATCAATTTGAGAAGACTTCATTGTTTCATTTGCCCAAGTCCATTATATATAATTGGTACATGAAACAAAGCAGTCCTTGCCGAGACTCATATCATTCGTCAACATCGTACTGTATTACACAGAAGATAAGGGTCGATTTTGTTGAGAAAAGTCCAAAGTATATGCTACAATTTAATCCGGTTACCATGTCATCGTGAATCTTTTATTAAGTTTTCTTTTCGCATCATCAACATCCGTAAAAACGACAATAGTTTGCCATATTTTAAGATTTTTACTTAAGCCAAGAGATTTTTTTTTCATTTTAAAGTCGTTTTATAGTTCACTTGCCCGCGATTACAAAGCATAAATTGATTAAACTTTATGTCATTTAACGTAAACAACACTCCACGCAATTTCCACGCAAGTTAACTACGCAGTTACTTAACTATCCGACAAACTACGTTTTGTGCAACGCAGTTAAGTCAAGCAGTTAAGTTACTACAGTTAAGGAGTTAACTACGGTAGTTAGCGTTAACTATAGTTAAAGTTAACTACGTTTTTATACAACCGGCCCCAGATGTTATCTCGTGGTTTTCTTGAAACATTCGAATGATGTAGCACTAAGAATTTACTAATTCACCAATTGTGCTCAAAAGAAATATTAAAACGTATATAGGCATGTATTATAGAGAAATAGCCAGTTTAGTACATTAAAGAACCTACCTAAGTTGTTTAAAATGCAGTAGCTTTTGAACGTACGTCACTTTCCAGTTCTCCGTGGTTTCTTTATGCTCTTTATTTAAAAAGTGTGTCTTTAAATCCTACAGACTGAATTGTTAAGAATGAAACTATTTGCCATGAATGGCATTATATACCTGTTTAGACTCTTGACATAATTTCCTTCTCTCAGGCCTCCCACTGACAAACAATTTCAGGATCGTACGTCACTAACAAACAAAATAAATTCGTATTTCCTTGGATGCAAATTGAATTGAGAGTTTGGTTAGGCAAAAAGAATTCTTAAATACTTTTTGGCCACAGAAAACATAAGAAATTTCTAACCTACCAGGTAGTTCGCTAAATAAATCCTTCATTTCTTGTTGCGTTTTAATTTTAAGTCGTAGACATTTTTTAAGCTTCGACGTTAACGCTTTTCCTGAAAAAAATCATATACAAAAAATTGAAACAATTAAGGCCTAACAAACAAATAAAAACATTTTGATTGTGTCAACGCATAGTTACACATAATGCAATGACAATATTGAAGCAGCTGCATTGCTAAAATTTCTTCGAGATAAGTGAAGAAACGCGTCTGTCAAAAGATCTACTCTTCTACTGACAGACATCTCCTTAGTAATTGCTGAGAACCCACGAAGGTAAGCCAAAGCCTTTCAATAGCCTCACCATCTGTAAGACCAAAACCATCGAGCCTTCTATGACTGAGCTGGACCTGGTTTTTTTTTTTAAGACATTAAAAAATAATATTTTACCTATGGGGGCTTTTTATCAAGGAAGAAACCAGAGCAGAAAAGATTGTCTTTCTTCAATCGCTACATCATTACCCAGGGATGTACTTTTCTGGAGGGAGGGGGTGCTCTAGTTTGGATAAGATTCTAGTGGCTGCTTGTTGGCGTAACATGCAAGACATTTTTCGTTAAATTTTGTTACTTATATACAATAATTGGAGATTTTTGAAATTGTGCTCCGTAAACCCCAATTACGATCGCTTGATGGTTTGATATACATAAATTTCTTAGGAAAATGCCACTCCTCATCCATCTCCACTAGTGAAGGTTGGAGGAGAGCACATCCCTCCGCTATCCCGCCTCTTAATTCGTCCCTGTCATTACCAGGTACAAAGCTTTATTCATTACCTGGCATGAAGCTTTTTGTCCATAAAAATGAAATATTGGCACCGAAAATGACACTTTTGACAAAATGTCATGCCTCTTGTTTGCCTAGAACGGTACCAATTTATTCAAAGTTTAGTTTGTGAATGAACTTGTCCCACATCATACATGCCAACATTAAAATACCTTTAAATGTAATGTTAATACACATCCAATATCATACATTATTTTTAAATCAACACCAGGACTTTGGTCAGCATCTTTTAAAATGCTTTGCAATAGGAACAGCAAAGACAAAATTCTGAATATTAATAAGAAGAGACTAAATATTAGTAAAGGGTAATAATAGATCTCGTTACCACAGTGTCGTTTTGTCCTTCTGTCCCTTTCTTTCAAAATTGACACGGGAAAAGAAATTATAACCCGACGATTTGCTCTACATACTACCTCATCAAAAATCAAGAATATTGATAATCACGCGCAAACCAAGCGTAATACACTAACCTTTCCCCATATTTAGTGCTGAAAAATCATCCAGTGTGTGAATGCCGACTGCAACAACTACCAAACACTCCTTTTTCATCAAACAGTTGATTTTTTCCTTTGGAGTGAAGTGCTTCTGTAACTTCTCCTAACTTAAATATCTGACAACTGTAAAATAAGGTGGAGCAGATAACAATTGTTTTATTACTGTAAAAATAAACATGACAGTTTACACAATCAAGTCATAGACCATGCACAAACATGATAAATTAAAGGAAAAGAAAAAAATTGGCTGTTTGTAATTTTGAATTTAAATCCACGTAGCTACTTACGTATGTATGAGGGCTAATGGACCTGTATGAAGCATAGACCAACTTTTCTCCGGGGCGAAGCCTTCCCAATCTTTTACTCTTACAATGCAAATTTATCAGCAAATTTGTTAATAATTTCTTTAGAAAATTAAATACATTCATTGTTTTTCTTGTGATTGAATACAAAAATATTTGCAATGTAAAAGTAAAAAAGTGCTGGCTTTTCCATTGATTTTCATTGGACTACATATAAAGTTTGTTTTCAAACTATTCCCCCCCCCCCCTTCACAGAATACTTTTGAATAGGCTTCAAAGTCCTTCATCATGCAATAATTACCTCTCCTACTTTGTTATTAGACTTGCTATAATGATCAACAAAATCATCTACTTCATCCTGATCAGCAAACTTAAGGCAGCCATGGTTTGGGACGGCAAAACTATTCCCTGCCAACTTTTTGCGAGTTAGACCAAAGCAAGCATCCATGGAATGAATGGCCACACCTAACTCACCAGTCTAAAGCAAACAAAGCTCTTTAATAAAATGAAACGAATTTTATGATAAACATGTAACACTTCATATTTCACAACAACTTTAAATGTTCTGATAATATATGTGACAAAAAAAATACAATTTAAAATAGTTCACAAAGCAAATAGTAGATAAAAAGAAACCAAATACTGACTTGTGGGCAAAGAGGGCAATTTGTATAATTAATCAGGTCTTTCTGTATGAACTTTAATTATCTGACTTGGTGTTTGAAATCTCTTACAAAAAAATCAAATTCTTAAATGATATAATATATACAGTCAAACCTCTTGTATCAAATGACCCTGTACTAAGCAGATACTACGTAAAATCCAAAACTTAATCTCATATAGCTAATAATAATGGAAGTATAATGATGAAACCTCAATTAAGCTGACACTTTCATTAAACTGATAATAGTCTGTTGTCCAATGGTGTGTATTTAAAACAGATTAGACTGTACTACTCTACACATATAATCTAACTATTAGGTCTACAATAACTGTAAATAGACTTTCGTTTTATAACATATAACATACCTGTATTCATCGAATGATCCATTGTTTAACACAATATATATGTTTTTGACCTTAACAAAAATAAAATGAACACTTAGTAAACTTGTGCATTGTTTCAAGAATAAAATAAGGTTGAATACACAAAGTCATAACAGAAAAGGAAACTTCATGTGCAATTTGAATGTGCTCTTACCTTATTTGAGGCAAATACTCATTATTTATGTTGTTTGTAAATAACAGTGATTCAATAAAATTTTTTGCAAAGTTTAACCAATCTATTTCCAGTTTTTGATGGGTAGACTATCATATGGGTGCACAATTCAGGTTCATGAGAAATACATACCAGTCTAAGTAGCATTTCAGGATATTCAACTTCAACAGTGCTGCAAAATTTGTGCAAGGATACATGGCTCTCGAGCAAGAATTTTTCAGCAAAAGCCATGAAGTCAAAGTGAAATGTAATTTTGAGTTTAGAAGATGAGCCTGGATACAGCTGGAGTTTAATTAGTTTTTCAGCATCCTTAATACACTGACAGAATTCAACAATTTTTAAATGCTGCCGACCTAAATTTTGTATGAGATTACAATTTGGATTAATTGATATGCAAATAATTAACATAGAAATTTTTGGCCTAAATGAAGCTAATGCTTAACGGTATTACTAACATATACACATTTACGTGTAGTCAAAGTCAAAATACTGCTATTCTTGCCATACTGTACCTTTTCCATCCACACATATTATAGTACGTAATTGTGTTGAAGAGCAGTTAGCATGCTGACTGTCACATAATATACCACCAAAAAGAGTAGTTGATTAAGCATCAGAACATGTATACATTCCACAAGACACCATGCACAGCATATAGCAGCATATCCTTCTTGAAAATGATTGATAGTTTTAACAAAATACTACAAGATTATACTACAGATTAAGTTTCTTTAGAGTTAAGACATGGTTGTAAAAAATTGCCAGCATTTGATGAATACTAGAGCTTAACAAGCCAAATTCCAAATGTAAAAAGCAAAAATATTTTATCTGAAGAATTGACAACTCCAACACTAAAACACTACACTCTAATATTATTAACACCAATCATATTAACAATACACCAAAACTCATGGCAACGCATTTCACTCCATCCAATGAAAATCAATCCACCCACTTATCCGATAAGCCGCTCTAAACGTCTCCAAGCTAAAAACACGTGTAAATAAATATCCTCATTCTGATGATGGCTCGAAGCAACGAGTCGAAAGCTGAATAAAAAATCAATTAAAAATCAGGAGAAACTTTTATCTTTTATGTACTCGATGCCTGGATTACAAATTTTCAAACTCATATATTTATATATAGTTTTGGTGTTGTTTGTAGTTTTTTTCTCCTTTTTCTTTAGTTGTGAGTATATGATGGGTATGTCGCTATGTCTGTTTATTGTGTCGTTGTCTTCTCCTGATTTTAAGTGATTTTTATTGGGTTTTTTTTATATACATATATACGAAGTGTATATACATTGTTCCTTCCCGGCTATCACCATAGTAAAATGGCGATTCCTGCCCTTGGGACACAGGACGTACTGTTACACATTGTATGCATTAAATTGTAGAGTCACCACAGTGCTCAAACCTATAAAGGTGAGCTTTGCATATCGCGAACACGGTGAACGTCTCCATATGAGACTCCCTACACAATCCGAGAGTGCTCAAACTACGCACGCGCAGTGAGAGTAATATGCAAAGTGTATAAACAATGTGCCCTACAGGCTATGACCATATTAAAATTGTGACTCCTGCACTAGGTATATATATCTTTTATATATATATTGATAAGAAGAAGAAAATAGACAAACACTACAATTTCATCCCGACAAGGCTGTTTCGTGATTGCTCAGTCTTCAGGGGATCACAAAACAGGCTTCTCGGGATGAAATTGTAGTTTTTGTGTATTTTTTTGTGTATTTCCTTCTTCTTATCAATAATTACGCTCTGCTCTCGGGCATCGAGCACTGTTTTATACGGAAAGTCATAAATTACAAACTTCCTATATTATCTATATATATATAAAATGAACTAAAAGTTCATTAAATTTAGTTCATTTTATCTTACGCTCTTCTAATATATAGAATATTGAGCGCTCTTTTATACAGGATTATTATCCGTAATATATATATATATATATATATATATATATATATATATATAGGAAGTTTATAATTTATGATTTTCCGTGTAAACAGTGCTCGATGCCCGAGAGCAGAGCGTAAATATTGGTAAGGAGAAGAAAATACACAAAAACTACAATTTCATCCCGACAAGCCTGTTTCGTGATTGCTCACTCTTCAGGGGATTTAATGAATAAAATACTTAAATGCTTAAATATACATACAAGATGATGACGGAAGCTAGTGTATTAATCAAGGTGTATAGTTTCAAGTTAGATGACGGAAGTTAGAGTATTAATTACGGTGTATGGTTACAAATTACATAGGAGTGTTTTGGATCTATGGCGACAAGAGGAAATAAGTTCGTTGCGTTTATGACTCCTGCACTAGGTATATATATCTTTTATATATATATTGATAACAAGAAGAAAATAGACAAACACTACAATTTCATCCCGACAAGCCTGTTGAAATGGTGAAATGGTGAAATGGTGACTCCTGCACTAGGTATATATATCTTTTATATATATATTGATAACAAGAAGAAAATAGACAAACACTACAATTATCTGACAAGCCTGTTTCGTGGTTGCTCACCTTCAGGGATCACGAAACAGGCTTATCGGGATGAAATTGTAGTTTTGTGTATTTTTTTGTGTATTTTCTTCTTCTTATTATTAATACTGCTCTCGGGCATCAAGCACTGTTTTATACGGAAAATCATAAATTACAAACTTCCTATATTTTATATATATATATATATATATATAAAATTAACTAAAAGTTCATTAAATTTAGTTCATTTTATCTTACGCTCTTCAATATAGAATATTGAGCGCTCTTTATCCAGGATTATAATCCGTAATATATATATATATATATATATATATATATATAGGAAGTTTATAATTTATGATTTTCCGTGCAAACAGTGCTCGATGCCCGAGAGCAGAGCGTAAATATTGGTAAGAAGATGGTTTCATTCATGGTTTTCAGATTGTCACTTTTCACGACAAATACAATGCCAATATATACAAGATGATGACGGGCAGTATCAGTAGTTAAGATGACGGAAGTTAGAGTTTAATACGGCGTATGGTTACAGCGAAGTGTTTTGATCTATGGTGACAAGAGGAAAGGGGTGTTTATTGAGGGATGATTTGGCATAAAGATGAAGAATTTATTTGGCAAGTTCTGGTGCTGTTTGTTGCCGCCATGTAATGATGAGTCATGAATGATACGCCGTCTTTAAGACAGCAATCACGACACATTCTTAAAGACAGCAATATCGACCACGACATCTCATGGAACATCATACACACAGCAAACCATACAACAGCACCGGTAAAAGATGCAACCTTTGCCTTAAATAAAATTTCTTCATCCTGTACCAACCATCCAAATCATCCTCAATAAACGCAACGAACTTATTTCCTCTTGTCGCCATAGATCCAAAACACTCCTATGTAATTTGTAACCATACACCGTAATTAATACTCTAACTTCCGTCATCTAACTTGAAACTATACACCTTGATTAATACACTAGCTTCCGTCATCATCTTGTATATATATTTAAGCATTTAAGTATTTTATTCATTAAATCCTGAAGAGTGAGCAATCACGAAACAGGCTTGTCGGGATGAAATTGTAGTTTTGTGTATTTTCTTCTCCTACTAATATATATATATATATATATATATATATATAAAAGATAAAACGTTTCTCCGGATTTTTAAATGATTTTTATTGAGCTTTCGACTCGTTGCTTCGAGCCTTCATCAGAATGAAAAATATTATTTACACGTGCTTTTTAGCTTGGAGACGTTTAGAGCGTCTAATTGGATGAGTGGGTGGATTAATGTGATTGGATGGAGTGAAATGCGTTGCCATGGGTTTTTGTGTGTTGTTAATATGGTTGGTGTTAATAATATTGGGGTGTAGTGTTTTAGTTTTGGTGTTGTTTGTAGTTTTTTTGTCCTTTTTCTTTAGTTGTGAGTATATGATGGGTATGTCGATATGTCTGTTTATTGTGTCGTTGTCTTCACTGTACCAAGCTTCCTTAAATTCGCGTGCGTGTTTAGTCTGTGCGCGTCCGAGTACTTTAGTTTCTGTCCAGTCGAATGTGTGATTGTTTCCGTGGGTATGTTCTGCCGGTAGTGAGTTCGGATCTCGTCGTTTTATGGCGTTTTTGTGTTCTGTGAGTCTTGTTTCAATTTTCTTAGATGTTTGTCCTATGTATTGTTTTGAACAGTCTTTACATGGTATCATGTAGATCGCGTCAGTTGTATCACGAATTGTTGTTTTGTCTTTATGTTTGGTGAAACATGATTTGAGTTTTTGTGTAGGTTGAGTTTTGAGTTTTTGTGAAACATGATTTGAGTTTTTGTGTAGGTTTGTGGGCGACGTTAATATTAAATGATTGAAGAAGTCTGGCAGTCATTTCTGATGTTCCGTTTATGTGACGATTTTCACTGTTTCGTCCGGTTTTTTGTTGCTTTTGTCGGTTCGTGTTTTGTTTTGTATTTTGTATATAGTTTTGTTTATGAAATTTCTAGGGTAATTGTTCTTTTGTTTTTTGGCTTCTTCCGTATTACAATGAGTGTTTATCCTGTTGAAAAGTGTTCGAATGCAGCTTATTTTGTGTTGTGTTGGATGATTGCTGTCGAAATCGAGTATTTTGTCTGTGTGGGTGGTTTTGCGGTATACTTGTGCGTTTAGTGTACCGTCATCTGTTCTGGTTAGTAGGATGTCGAGGAAGGTAAGTTGTTTGTCGTGTTCTTCGTCTTTAGTAAAGGAAATGCTCTTTGTGGTATTGTTCATGGTGTGTAGGAATTGTTCAGTTTTGTCTTTCTTGACTATGGCAAAGATGTTGTCGACATATCTTTTCCATAGTCTGATGCTTGTGATGTTTGTGTTGATTGTATTTCGAGGTGTTGCATGACAGCTTCTGCGAGGAAGGTGGATAGTGGTGATCCCATTGGTGTGCCTGAAATTTGTCTGTAGTATGTGTTTTTGAAGGTGAATTCAGTGGAGAGGCAAAGGTTGAGTAAGTCTAGGATGTCATTTTTGTCTACTTGTGTTGTAGCTTGCCAAGTTTTGTCGTTTGTGAGTAGTTCGTTTGTACTTTGTTTGGCAATGTCTAGTGGTATGGATGTGAAGAGTGATATCACGTCGTAAGATATCATGATTTCGTCTGGTAGTTGTTTAATGTTTTCAATAATGGCGAAGAAAGTGGTGGCATTTCTGATTGTGTGAGGTGAGTTTTTGACAAATGGATACAGAATGTTATAAAGATATTTTGAAAGTTCAAACGTAGGTGATCCTGGAAGCGATATGATAGGTCGAAGTGGGTTGTTTTCTTTGTGGATTTTAGGTAGTCCGTAGAATTTTACGGTGGATACGTCATTGGGTCGGATTCTTCTGTAGTCGTTTTCGTTTAGTTTCTTTTCATCTTTTAGTTCTATATATATATACCGTACGTACTGTACGTCCTGTATCCAAACTGCAGTAGTCACCATTTTACTATGGTGGTAGCCAGGAGGGAACATTGTTATAATATTAATTTTGTAAATATATATATATATATATATATATATATATATATATATAAAATGAACTA